CGCCATTCCCGGGCTAAATATTTGGCAAAAACATCTTGGACAGCCCTCGCGCCCGTACTACTTCAACCTGGTTTAATTTATGTCTTCATTTGATATTGCGGCTACTTTCACAAGAAGGTAGTGAAAAACCGAAAGAACGTCTGCAAAGTGAATTACGTCCACGGGAGCGGCTGGATATGCGCGCTTTAACTATTGAAGTCACCGCGAAAACAAGCGCTGGTTACCTATTTTTCACGCGTTAAAGATCCATAGCTCTTTCGACTGCATATCAAGAACCGACAGTGGATCAAAAACTGTCACAAGCTCCTACGGCACCACATAAAATACCAACCCGGGACCATGTGTGGGCCTGGATGCCTAAACGCCGACAAAAAATTTGCGAGAAGCTTCTTCGACGGTATTTGAGTCGTATAGGGTACTTTGACGTCTTGGCGCACTCAACTAAAAGGTTGTCCCCGACGGGCCGCGGAATCACCCTCCGCGACACCTGCTGGTCATGTCACCAGGTTGCTCATGTCGTAGGGCTACGGTGAAGCTAAATCACTCTTAAAAAATGACATCAGAGCGTGTAAGGACCATTTCATCCTCTCTTAATTTGAAGAGAGATGTGAATGGTCGCAAAAGCAAACGCCAATCGAATTTTATTCAAACATTGAGTATGTAGCTATTGTTATTCTTTAGCGACGGAATGAACGTGCTGTCACCCTGTGTGCACCAAGTTATCTGCAACAGCAGCGCTGATCACGCCGCCTCTTTGATTAGGTCTGGGTCCGACATGTTGTGAATGATTCATGGCAATCACCGTTGAAGATGTGATATGCTTGCCCCGTAGCGCTAGGTTTGTCGTTCCCCAAGATGTCGTAGTCCCGAACTTTCAGCTTCGCTGTAAATCTTTAGGCCTTAGTGATTTTAACAGCGATCTTTCACTTCAGATCTGTTAGTGGCAGGAACTTTCTGTCAGAAAGCATCGTATTTCTATCAAAAGAATCGAACAATATTTGGGTTAGTACGCCCACACTTACAAAGTTCACAGATGGGCTAAGCGATGCGAAGTTTCCGTAGATTTATTTTAAGGTTCATATTGCAACAACCCCGGATAAAATTACGATATCATCACAATAATGTCACTCATTACTAACCACAAAATGTTATCAAATTCGTAAGCCCTGCTTCACGCTAAACCTTTGTATGCTCATTAAGATTGCGGAGAACTCTAGTAATTGCTTGCTTTATTATTGTTTCTTCCTATTGTGTACACTTTTAAAAACATGTAGGCTCTAAAGCTGGTATCGGGTTCATGCTTTTCAGAGCTGCCTAACCACGTGCTCGTAAAGCTCGTTTCAGGCATATTCTTATTTCAGGCACAAAAGCAATCAGCAACGCCCCACCCTGACGACGCCTCAATGCTGGAGAACTGCCTCGATTTTTAAGATAATTTATGTTGATATTATGCAAAGGGACGGAAATACAAAACTTCATTTGAAAGCTAACGCTAGTACCAGAGATAATGCTCCAAGGCTCGATGACTTATTTATGAAAGAAGCGCTTCCAATCACGATTGCCTTACTGACGGCTCACGCTCTAGTCACTGCTACTAATATGCCGCGTTGATTTATCTACTTTTCATTCGTGACTTTTCATTCTGTGGGCACAATTCCAGTCGAATGCAGAATTTTTTCTTCAGGCTGCAGACTGACACACTATTGTGAGTCATGAGTTCCTCTGCAACACTTGAAGCGGGGCTCAGCGCATCACAAGAACGAGTACAGCAAGTTGAGCGTACACCTCTCGCTGCACTCTGGCTTAGTAATTAGTTCAACGTGCTGTCTTAGCAGCAGAAGACAAACGCAGAGTGCACAACTTTCGACCAAATCAAGCCGATTTTGAAAGAAAATATTAGGTACAAACAAGCGCATTTCTCATGGCCTAAATGAACTTCTTACTTACCATTTTAACAATGTTACTCTTGAAGCAATGTTTAACAATGTTACTCTTCAAGCAAGAAGTACGCAGGTGTTTCTATTTCTTCTAACCTGTCCTGGAAAGCTGTCCTCGATCATAAGTAACGCTAAAGCCAAAGACGCAAATGTGTCTTCAATAACTGAAAAGAGATATAGCTCTCCTGCGTACGCTGTTTTCAAGGTGGTTTTGAAGTCACCAGAAATTATTATTGTTCCACCTTTCTTAAGTACCGGCACAATGGCAGCGGCGCAATCCGAATTTCGAACTGGAAAAAGTACATCAATTGCTATGAGCCGGTCCAGTTCTTGCGACACTGTCTCTCTTAGAGCATAAGGTATGAATCTTGCCTTACAGAAGTTTGGCATGGTTCCGTCCTTCAGCTGCAAGGTGGCTGGTGGCTCCTTGATCAGGCCGAGCTCCATGGAGAACACGTTGCTGTAGTTGCCGATGCTGTTGTTAACGACTTCTTTGGACTCTTGAATTGAACGTGGAGAGTCTTGTGGTGATGAGTGGAAAACTGGCATCCCCACTCTGTGAAACATGGAAATCAGGTCATGGTCACACAAATTATGTCCCGAGCAGTTGAGTAGATAGGGTCATTTACGAAAACAGTCCTGTGTTGGCACACGTGTTTTAATTTCCCTTGAGTGGAAGTGGTCCAGCAGACAGATGAGGCAGTATATCTACTACGATTGTAAGTTGCATACCACTCCACGTGAAATTGTGCTGTATAGGTAGCTGTAAGCGGCCTCGTTGAGCTCACGATGAGATTCATATGTGTGTCGTTTCACTGTCGTCATCTTTATTTTTGGATTCTTCGACAGTTGGAGCTTTTCTTTCAACATTTGTTTCCTGAGTGCAATGGAGCGTAGTCCACAGACAATGCGATCATTAGGCATGCGATCAAGCGACGTGATGGAGATGTGCTTGTCTGCTATTTGAAGAATAGGAACAGGAAACGTGCAAACACTATCGCCTGGAAGTGTGAGTGCTTGAAGAGCTTGTAGCTTTCCATTATCTTAGGCTTCTTTGGATCATAGTAATCATTGAAGCTCTAAATGGATTCCTTGTAGGTGAGCTCATTTCGTGCGCGTGGGGCTACACTACCAGCTAGCACCTCAACCATCTTGCTAGGCGAGGCCGAAACAAATAGTACTCACTTCTTATTGGCACCGTTACGCTGTTTTCCTCGAAATGCACTTCTACTCTGACGAGGTAAAACTTCACTCATCTTTAGTTTCGTCGTAATCCGGCAACTGCAAATGGGCTATCATGGCCTTTCTGAGGTCTTTTCACGGCAGGACCTTCGGCATTCCTCAGGTACCACGGGTGAAATACCTGAACTCTTCGCCACTATTACATAGTCGTTGGCTCAGCCACATCAAACATACGCAGACGACCGGTGACTTGGGCAAAAGAGTTGTGTGGTGCTTTTTGCAAGGTTATATTATAACCTTACCGAGGTACGTGGGTTCGGTGCCTTTTGCAGGCTTTTATTATAACTTAACCGAGGCAAGTGCGAGAGTTGAAAGGGTGCACATGTGGATAACTACTATAGCTTCATCGATCGACAGAAACACGAAAGGGGATAAGAGAAAGGGGAGTGGCAGAGTGTTGTTTGCAATAGCTTGAAGGGGTCGAGGAACACTTTTCATGTCACAAATCGAACACAAAACAACAAACGGGTGATGACAGTCACGCAATACGGAATAAAGCCCCTTTAGGAAGTCGCAACACTCTTTGATCTACGCCGTCTCACTCTCGCCGCGCTATCGACTTCCTCCCTTTTCACCCTTTCCTACGCGGAGACGGCACATCCGCAGCGCTGGATGGCTGCGAGGTGCACTGCCAGCTTGTCAGGTGACCCTGAAGTCACATGAAACGCGCGCAAACAAACTTTGCGTGCTTTTTAATCACCGCGCACGCCGTGAACCCTCCAGACTCCTCGCTCTGAATGTGCTTCAGAGATAAATTCCGAGCTTCGTTCTTCGAGGCGTTGCCTGACTGCTGGGCATTTCATTGGAGCGGCAGGTCAGAGAAAGGAGTAAAATCATTTTATATTACCCGAGACTAAACAAATGCCGTGCGTAGGAAGTATGCGGATTCAAAACATTAGGAGAAAGAACCTAGCATCTTCTAAGCACTCCGTTCATTGACAGGTAGCAATTTCCTTTTATATGCATTGATGTCTGTATGCAGTTGTATGGAGATTGTATGCATCTAGGCAGTACGTCGAGTTCAATAACGAGAATGTATAAATGTGAGTATAGCTTTTTCTAAGTCAGTCATTGTACAGACACCGATTATCAACAGGGACACGCGCCACCACCAGAAGATGACGTCACCACTAACCCCTGTAAACCTAACACGCCAAGGATGAGATGGTGCCTTTAAAAAAAGATCGGTCATCATGTCGAAACGTCGGCCAGCCAGCCAGCCAGTCTGAGGAACTTGTACTGTTCAACCTGATTATCCCACTATCCAATGTTATGTGGCTTTACCAGGCGAAACTCCACGAATTAGTGTCATCTATACATATTCGATTGAACACTTTAGGGTTTGATTTTTCTTTCAGACCATTCGCCTTACGCTGTCTAAACTTTAATACTGTGTTGATCCAGAATATATCATACAACATATTTTCTGCAGAGGGTCAAACACATCTTTATTTAGTGAACTGACCAAATCTCCAACTGGAAAGCCTTTTTTCATTTTGCTCTAACGACACCGAGCCATGATCTCACGATTCAGTTTTCTTATATGCAAAGTGAGACGTTCACGGGAGCATTCAGAAGATATGGTAATCAGCTTGAAATATCTATGTGAGAGAAGATCGTGGAAGTTCATTTTTGAAAATGGGATATATCATCAGATACTACTGAATCAATCAGCATGCAAAAGACAGCAACCTGTGAAACTGCAGTAGTGTGTAAATGTGTTTATTGAACTTCATTTTCTAGAAAATCTGATATTTCTTGACATTTTCTTGAAAATTCTAGGCTAAATTTGACAAGTATTTTCACCGTTTCATTCATCAGCGTGTCCAACTAATGAGAAACTAGGTGTTTGCGATGGTGGGGCTAATTTCCCGCAATTATACTGCCCTGGTGTGGATATAGAAGTGAATAAATGGACTTGCAAACCAAGAAAGAAAATAAGGTGTGTGTGCAGTGGTGAACTTCGCAGAAGTATGGATGGAAAATGCGTCCGTGAGGAGCAATGCGGTAAGCACAAAATTATCACGAAACCTTTCCAAATCTGAAACGCTTTGATAAATGCATGCCATTGTTAACATGTAATCTCCGGTTTTCCATCGCTTGTTGTTTATGTTGTGATATCCGAAGTGAACCGGAAGAACCATTTTCAGAGGAACATAATGCTTCCACCTTTAGGGATTCCAGTGAGTTCTGGAGTCACCAACACTCACTGGAAGTGAGTGGTGGAATTGTAAGCTCGTGTGGCATTTTCATGAATGCGTTTACCTAAAAAAAATACCATAATAACCTACGTGACGGATTTCTTGTAGGGGGCAGCATGCAAGATAGCATATGTAACTATGAAAGCACTCACACGTTATTCTTGCAGCCGTCGTAGCACAATTGTAGCCTAGTAAGTTTTCGTCTACAGCGAAAGCTGCTGTGAGATTACAACAGCCGCTATAATATTCACTCTCGACAACTGTTGTCACTTGAAAAAGCAAAAACAAAAACAAATAAGAAAGATATATTGAGGGCACATTGTGATTACTAGCAGCGCCATCTGCGTAAAGCCGCGCATTCTACGATAAATCCAGGGTGGTGCTTGAAACATTTTTTTGTTAACAGTTCCGACGCAGGCTTCACGACGGGAAGGATTCACGTTAGCATGTGCAATATATCATCATTTCAGAAGAGTAAAATAGCAATCAGGTGTCAAACATGATGAATATAAAATGAGGGGGGGGGGGATGGGTGACGAAATGGTTAGCTTGAATATTTTATGCACCTTTTGTTCGCATATGAATCGAGCAACTATTTTCACTCGCTGTAGGTAATATAACCGTGTGGTAATGTAACCATGTCACTGTAGGTATTATAGCTTGTATCGCTCATATTTCTTGCATTTGCTTATTCTCCAAAAAGTTGTAGCTTTGACAGTATCATGGGTTCTTTTTTTCAATTGTGACAGGAAAATACACCATGCTAAAGGCAAACACACACCAGTCAGGAGGGAAATATGGGGATACATCCCAGCTTCTACCAGTTGACAACTACGAAAGAACTATATCGGTATGTAAACCTCCAAACACTGCTGCGCCAAATGATCTTACTCTGCATGATTACATGTTTAGGCTGGTAAAAATGATGGTACGTGTGGAACTTCTTTCATCATTTGTGTTAATTTCTAAAATCAATGGTTTTAAAATGGGGCTTCACGAAGCTATTTTGGAGGCTCCGCGTCTCTAGCCCTCGAAACAAACAGCACCTTTTTTTCGGTACACTAAGCCTTCTGAGAATAGCTCTTGGTTTAATTTCATTTCCCTTTCTCCATAATATTGTCACGACGTCGAAACAGAGGTCTTGCGGCAGAAACTGAGACACCAGAAGCAGGTAGGTTCTTTTTAATAGAACGCGCAAGCGAGTTCTTCTTTTTCATCCATTTCATTGTACTTCATGGCACATGCACAACTGTCATTGTCTTTCTTTTCGACAATAACGTGACATTTGCCTCCCTCCGAAAAAGGCATCGTCCCGATGCGCAACCTAGGTGCTCTACCAGGCGTATGAAGTGGTCGCGTCAACTGGATAAATACGGTTTCATACGCACGACGTGTACGACTTCGGGTAAATGATTTTTACGCTTAGAACTACAGTAAGTGTCGGGAACAACTTCATAGTTCACGTCGTTTAAGCGTCGCGTGACGCTGTATGGGCCAAAGTATCGTCTTAGCAGTTTTTCCGACAGTCCACGTCGACGTATCGGAATCCAGACCCAGACCTTGTCGCCTGGTGTGTAGCTAATAAACTTGTGTCGGGGGTCCTACCGTTGTGCATCTTGATGCTGTTGATGACAGATGCGCACACGCGCGAGCTGTCTGGCTTCCTCGGCGCGCTGAGTTAACTCTTCGGCGTTCACATGGATGTCATCACACTCATGCGGCAACATGGTGTCCAACGTTGTCGTGACTTCGCGACCATAGATCAGATTGAACGGTGTCATTCCAGTGGTTTCTTGTCGAGCGGTATTATAGGCAAAGGTCACGTACGGCAATATCTGATCCCAGTTTTTATGTTTCGTGTCAACGTACATGCTGATAATGTCTGTGAGGGTCCTATTGAGGCGCTCTGTCAGTCCGTTTGTCTGCGGATGGTAAGCAGTTGTTCTCCGGTGAGCTGTACCGCTGAGTCTGAGAACCGACTCCAAAAGTTCTGCGGGGAAGGCAGGTCCTCTGTCTGTGATCACTGCTGTCGGAGCGCCATGCCGACGGACGATGTTTTCGATGAAGAACTGAGCGGCCTCTGCTGCTGTGCCGCGCTGCATAGCTTTAGTCTCAGGCATAACGGGAGAGGTAATCGGTGGCCACGATTATCCATCTGTTACCTGTTTTGGAAGTTGGAAAGGGGCCCAGGAAATCCATTCCAATCTGGGTGAACGGCTTCGCTGGTGCTAGGACTGGATGTAAAAGACCGGCTGGCTTGTTAGGAGGTGCTTTGCGTCTTTGGCAGTCGGTGCAAGTTCGCACGTGATGGTTAACATCAGCGGGTAACTTTGGCCAGTAGTACATGCATCGCAGTCGGCACAATGTTCGGGTGTAGCCTAGATGACCAGAAGTTGCTTCATCATGGCACGCTTCCATAATTTCTTTTCGAAGAGAGGCAGGCATGACGAGCAAGTGCGGGTTGCCGGTTGGTGAGAAGTTTTTCTTATAGAGAACATCGTTTCACAAGCAAAAAGATGGCAGTCCTCTGGCAAATAACCGCGGCACGTCCTTACGTCGTCCTTCTAAATATTCAATGAGTGGTAACAGCTCGTGGTCACTGCGCTACTCCTGTGCAATAGTGGCCGTGTTGACGACTCCCGAGAATGCCGCGTCGATGTTTTCGTCATCACGAGTGACAGTCTCCACTGGCGATCGTGAGAGACAGTCGGCGTCGGTGTGCCGCTTCCCAGATTTATAGACGATGGTCATGTCGAACTCTTGAAGTCTTAGGCTCCAGCGCGCCAAACGGCCAGATGGATCTTTAAGGTTGGTGAGCCAGCACAAAGAGTGATGGTCGCTAACAACCTTGACGGAGCGGCCGTACAAATATGGACGAAATTTGATGACCGCTTACACCACGGCGAGACACTCCTTCTCGGTAGTCGAGTAGTTCTCCTCCATGCGAGAGAGAGTTCTGCTGGCGTAGGCTATTACTCTTTCACAGCCGTCTTGCCACTGCACCAGAACGGCACCCAGACCTACATTGCTGGCGTCAGTGTGAAGTGCTGTAGGGGCTTCCTGGTCGAAGTGCGCGAGGACTGGAGGTGTTTGCAGGCGTTGTCGTAGTTCATTGAACGCCATTTGCTGTTGTTCACCCCAAAAGAAGGGGACATCCTCACGTGTGAATCGTAACAATGGCGCCGCAATAGACGAAAAGTCCTCAATAAATCGCCGGTAATAGGCACACAACCCTAAAAAGCGTCTCACGGCCTTTTTGTCACATGGTGCAGGAAATTGCGCTACGGCGTCTATTTTGTCCGGGTCAGGTCGAACACCCTCGTGACTGATGACGTGGCCTAGGAAGCTGAGTTCGTTAAAACCAAAATGACATTTTTCCGGTTTTAAAGTAAGGCCGGCCGAACGTATGGCTTGAAGGACGGTGAATAAACGGCTGAGATGTTCCTCGAATGTTGCTGAGAATACAATAACATCGTCCAGATAGACCAAGCATGTTTGCCACTTCAGGCCTGATAGTACGGTGTCCATGAGACGCTGAAGAGTGGCTGGCGCCGAGCACAACCCAAAAGGAAGCACCTTAAATTCGTATAGACCATCGGGCGTGACGAAGGCCGTTTTTTCACGATCTCTCTCGTCGACTTCTATCTGCCAGTAGCCGCTTCGGAGGTCCATTGAAGAGAAATAGCGCGCATGACGCAGCCGATCGAGTGAATCGTCTATGCGGGGCAGTGGATAGACGTCTTTCTTCGTGACTTGGTTCAACTTGCGATAATCAATACAGAAGCGCAAGCTGCCGTCTTTTTTCTTGACCAAAACCACGGGGGACGCCCAAGGACTTTTCGAAGGTTGTATGACGTCATCCGCGAGCATCTTGTGTACTTGCTTCTGAATCTCCTCGAGCTCTTTCGGAGACACATGGTAGGGGTTTTGCCGAATCAGTCGCGTGTTGTCTTCAGTAATGATGCGGTGCTTGGTCAATGGCGTTTGTTGTACCTTTGACGTACGCGAAAAGCAGTCTTCAAATTGGTGTATAAGTTCAAGCAGGCGCTTCCTATCAGAGGGCGGTAGCGTAGAGCAGATGTCCACCGACAAAGTTGTCAAGGCGGGGACAGCTGCGTCATCTGGTTGCAAGGTAAAACAATCCCCGGCTTGGTCTACATCGTCGTAGTAGGCAATTGCGGTACCTTTCTGGATTTGACGGCGCTCGTTGCTGAAGTTTGTGAGGAGCACTTCTTCCTGTCCACCAGTAAGCGCCAGGACGCCCCTTGCGATGGAAATGCCTTGCGTGAACAAAAGAGTGACTATGTGCTCCGCTATCACATCTTTATAGCTAGGACACCCACTGGACACCGACACAAGGCAGCAGGATCTCGGTGGGAGTGTCACATCGTCGGCTATTCGCAAACGGCCGCGTGGTTCTTCACTGCTGTTGTCGGCATAAGGATGAACGCAAAACGTCACCATACGTTGAGGGATTTTGATAACAGCGCCATGATCTTGAAGAAAATCCATGCCCAAAATTAACTCTTCACAGCAGTCTGGCAACAGGACGAAAGTGGCCACGAAGCTAGAATCTCCGATGCGAAGTCTAGTGGTGCATTTACCCGTGGGTGTCATCAGCTGACCACCAGCACTCCTTATGTGCGGCCCTGTCCACGGTGTCTTGACCTTTCTGAGGTGGTCTGCGAGCTCTTGTCGCATGATTGAGAAGTCGGCGCCAGTGTCGACCAGTGCTGTAACGTGATGTCCGTCAATGAGAACGCTCAGATCGGCACGTACAACTTCATCAGTATTATTATTCGTCGTCGTATTCATCGTCGTTGTCGTCATACCTTCTTGCGATGATTGGGGGAACTTTTCAGTGTGTCGACGATTGGCAACCTTGCCCCCCGAGGTCGCTTTAGTTAGTTTCCCCGGCGCGGGCTAGGCGAACGGCCTCTGGTGACGTCCGCGTAGCTCTGAGGGAAGCCACGGTGACGCACAGGTGATGGAGATCGCCAGCGACGCGGTGGGGTTGCTTGAGAAGGCGATAGTTGATCGGCATCATGGGCACGACGGTCTTCGGAGCGGAAAGAAGCGGGACGAGAAAAGTTCTCGAACCCAGAATCGCCGTGACGGCAATAGCGGGCAATGTGACCGGGTTCAACGCAGCGGTAGCAAATAGGTCGACGGTCGGCCATGTGCCACAAGTCAGTTCGGCGAACTGGTGGTCGTCTCGTAGAATCTCGTTGCCACCAAGGTACGGCAGTGGGTCGTGTCTGGAAGGGCGTCGCCACAAATGTCGGTGGAGGACGACGGACCACATCAGCGTAGCTCGCTGGATGTGGCTCAGGATTTGGCGTGGGTGGTGTAATGGCTTGCCTCAACTCCTGGCGGACTATTTCGGCAACAGATGCGACTGGAGGTTGGGCAGGAGGAACGCAGAGGGCTTGAAGTTCCTCACGCAGTATTTCCCTAATCATTTGTCGCAAGGAACTTTCGCATACGGCAGTGTTCTGAGCTGCAGCACTTACTGCCGTGTGGTTCTGCAGGCGGTCAAAGTGTCGGCGTCGTTGTTGCAGTGCGCGCTCGATGACTGTCGCCTCTCTTATGAATTCATCTACAGTTGTAGGTGGATTTCGTACGAGGCCCGCAAACACTTGTTCCTTAACACCCTGCATAAGGTGACGCACCTTCTTCGCCTCGGGCTTGTCAGGGTCAGCTCGTCGAAACAGACGTATCATACCCTCTGCGTACATGGCGGCTGTTTCATTGGGTTTTTGCACGCGTGCCTCAATCACTTGCTGTGCGCGATCCCGTCGGTTCAAGTTCAAAAATGTAGCGAGGAGCTTTCGACGGAAGTCTTCCCAA